TAAAAATACACATCATTATATATATATATATTGTTGCGTCATCGAGTCACATGACTACTGTGACGCAACGTTTCTAGAACTATCATGTACTTTGGCGAATGTTCTAGTTCTTACTAGATATAGGGTAGGCTGGTATATAAAAGAGGGGAATGTAATGTGTGAGTGGATAGTGAGTAATTATACTGCAGTCAGAGAGCACGAGAGACGTTACAGCGTTTGTTTAGCGCGATTGTTGAAGTTGAGTATCGGTAAAGTTATATTTGGAAAGAATAAACTAGTTTTATTAAGAAAGGAGTTGTGTCGCTTAAGTTTCGTCGGAACGAAGTTACGGAAAAATCAATTAACAAACGGAGACGTAATAATACTTTATATATCAAAAACAAAAAATGTGTGTTTGTTTGTGACAAAGCTACTAAGGCTCTCTTCTACCATCCTTACCTTTTAACTACCCATCATAGGGTGTTTCAACGTGGAAATAACCATAACATTATAATGGCTGAAAAGGTGAGCATTTTCGGCAATTGATTTTGATCCTTGACCCGCAGATTTTGAGTTTAGAGCCCAGCCACCAGGCCATGCCAGATCCAAAAACAAAACAAAATGAACCCTATAATACTTTAAATATGAATAAACTTTTTGATGATGACACAAATTAAATACTTGAAAAACATATGACATCAATATAATACCAATAAAGAAGCCTCCAATGGCACAGTGGTATGTCTGCAGACTTACAACGCTAGAAACCGGGTTACGATACCCATGTTGGGCAGACCACAGATAGCCCATTGCGTAGCTTTGTGCTCAAACTACAAACAAGCCAATCTAGAAAAAATTGAACAAAAATAAATTACAATCACACAAAATTAGCTCCAGTTAAATATGAATAATTTTGTTTTTTGTTGTTGTTTTACATTAAGCACAAAGCTACACAATGGGCTATTTGTGCTCTGTCCACCAAGGGTATCGAAACCCGGTTTCTAGCGTTGTAAATCCACAGACATACCGCTGTGCCACAGGGGAGCAATATGAAATGAAACAAAAGTGAAATGAGTTATTTAAGGTATTGAAATGCATACTAATATAAATAGTAATATACAATAGACACAAGTGAAAAAATTAAAATGAAACAAATGCAGGTATATATAAAATATATATACCAAATATTCACTTACTCGGGGTTGCTATGAGCACCATCTTTCCTATTGGGTTTGAGCCAGCTCAGTCTAGAGTTGGAAGACTTTCTTTTCTAGCTTTGATGCTGTTGGATGTCATTAGAGCTGGTCCTTTTTCATTTTGTAGAGGGCCCATACCTCTATCAGCTTTACAGCCATTTCTTGGAAAAGCTGTTTTAAAACTGTGTTCTGCTGTAGGGTGAGTTAGATGGTGATGGTTGATGGTGGAGTTATCATCAGTTTAAATCTCTTCTGCCAATGGGGTTATTCACGGGACCTCTCGGGTCGCAGTGGCTCAATTGCCATTGAGGTGGAGATCCTCACTTCAACTTGGTTATTGTTATTTGTGATTTGCTACCTATTAACATGGATGACCCTCTCTGCTACCGGTGGCAAGGTCTTACTATTTGGTATGATCTCAGTAGTTGGTTGAGTTTTTGGTCAAGCTCTCTCGTAACACTTAGAGCTTAGTCAATTCTCGGGAAAACCTCAGCCCAGGAAAGTTTTCTTTGGTTTAGGTA